ATATTATTTCACGTAAAAACGGTAAAACCAAAAAAAAACTATATCGAGATGGATATCAAATCGAAGAGAATGAAATACTAGATTTTTTTATATAATTTATTTGATAAATATTAATTATTTTTAAGATAATTTAGTTTAAAAATTAAAGGAGTAAAAGTTTTTTTAATAAAAGAAAATAAAAAATCAAATATGGTAGTTAATTCAAACTTACATTTTTGTTCCTAATTATGGGGTATTTGGGATTTGCTTATTTGAAACAACTTTTGCTTTTCTATAAAAGTATTTATCAACTTATTATAAGTCGGAATTGTTTAACTTCTTCAAAAACTCCTTATTACCTGTTTGGCACCGGTATAAGTTGTTTATCCAAATACTCAAAAATGCTTATTACCGGTGTTACACCAGAATAAGTCAATAAATTGTTTTTATGAGCAATCCCAAACCCCCGTTTTATGTTTTAACCGTTTATTAGTTTTCTAAAGTTTGATCAATGGTCAAAATTTGTTCTCATGTTTACAATGAAAATGTGGTTTTCATTTGAACCTATCCCTACAGACACATACACATGCCCCCCCCCACACACACACATATATATATATATACATACATAGAGAGAGAGAAAAAAAAAGAGATGAGTGATCAAATGCAAACCACCCATTTTGTGCAAACCCTACAACTAATTTCATCCATCCATTTTCTTGATCAATGATCATGATTAAAATGTGTTATATTAGAAAAATAAAAAATAAACTAAACCAAAATGTTTAATATTTAATCAAGAAAGGACAAATTTGGCAAACCATTTTTACTTACAACCATATTATATTAAGAAAGCAAATAATTGTTTCATTGACTTTCCTTCCAATGATATATTTGACATATGGTGTTCCTAAAAAACATCTTTTTACAGACAACTTGACAAAATATATTATTTGGGACTAGACTGGTTAATGACATAATCTGAAACCTGTTTCATACCAATCCAAAACTTGTTTCATACCAATTTGATTCATGATGAGAATACATCAACAGTGAAATTTGTTTCATGAATAAAACGTTTTGGAATGAAAAATTTGGAAAACTGGATATTTTATTTTGATCAGTGATACTGTTGTCATGAATAAACGTTTTGAATTATTAATAAATTTAATTCATTAGTGAAATTGTGTTCATGTTCAATATTCAACATGAAATTGGTTTCATTAGTTAAACTACACATGTTTCAGTCAATGAAATGAAATCAGAATTCATATTGTCATCTAATTTAGGGGCCGTTTATCAAACACTTACCCGGTAAGCGCGTACCAGTAAATTCAACACTATCATTTACCTATTAGATAAGATTTTAGTTCACCAAAACGGTATCGTATGCAACAATTTACCTCGGTAAATACTTACCGTGGTAAGATTCGTCACTTTCACTTACCGGGTAAGACTATTGGTCTTTGTCTCGCTCTTACCGGGTAAGATTCTTAATCATTATCATATTCATCCGATAAGGTAAAATGACTTGGTGTTCACTTACCCGAGTAAGCATTTGGTAAACAACCCCTTAATAAATAACGAAAGCATAACATTAAATAATGACTACAAGAACATAATGAAATTTGCACATGATACGAAATAATAACTACAAAAACATTTAATACGAACAACAGTCAATGTAAGAAACCATGACAAATGTTAGACACACATTCATATTAAAAAAAAAACATCAACATAATCATTAATATAAAAAAGAATTACCATCATATTCATCTCTATCTGAGATAACATTATTGGATTTGTCAAACATTTCATTGGAACTAACACCTCCACCCATATCACCCATTATTGTAGAGGACCGTAATTTCTCAAGATGAAACGATATGATTCTATACAACCTATAAATATGTAAATACAAACTATTTGTATAAATTTTAAACGAGGGAACAAATTCGTGTATATCCTAACATTAATGAAACAAAATCATTGTTTTAAAATATCTATATATGATTTTATCATTAGAAAGATTTTAACAAAAAATATTAGGATAATATGGAAAATTATATGCTGAAGAAAAATTATCTTTATTTTATGACTAAATATTATAAATTAAATAATCACCACATTAAAAATAGAGCCAACTAAGAAACAATAAAACAAGGTATATCCTAATAAATTATAAAATAAATGACGTGACTTCTATCTATACTATCTTATTAAGCAAATTTAGCAAAAGTCTTAAAGTCTTAAAATTCTAAATGACCAAAATACCTTTTATACTACCATTATAATCGTCTCGTTAATACCTTCGAAATGAGTCCAATATTGAATAGTTTTTGACTTAATTATATTATTATATATTATATATACTGTAAAAAAATATTTTTAATATTTATGATTTATACATTTATAGTTATTTATTTATATATATACTATATATTTTGGGGTTAGGTTGTCCAAATTGCACTGTATAATATGTTCTGAATTAATATGTTCTTAGGTTTTTTTGAAATATATATATATATATATATATATATATATATACATGTATTAATTCAACCTTAATCTGAGTTTCTGGACAAGAAAGAGGGTAAGTAGTTGAAATTTCATTCTAAAAATCATCTTTTTTGTTCTTTTCATGGCTTATGATCTGTCAAATTTGTAGTTTTCTTTATTGGTTTTGAGTGATTATCTCAAAACTCAAGTTTCTTGGTTCTTTGTTCTTGGTGTAAATCGAACACATTTGTGGAGTCGTTTAAATATGTTGGATTTTAAATATATTGGATTTTAAATTGTCATACAATTTTTTTTATCGATAGTCTGTAATTGGATCCATAACGCTTATTTATTTAAACTGTATTAATATGCAAAGACCAAGTGTAACTTATATCATCGTTAAATCTTATCTTCTAAAACCAGTAGAACTTCAAAATCGTTAAAATTCATGGCTCCCACCGCATTGCGTGGGTACACAACTAGTCTTCTTAATAAATGAATGATGTGGCTTCATATGATTGATGAATGATCAATGATTAGAAAATTCGGAAAAAACCCATTTTTATCCCCCGCATGGGATGGATAGAATAGGTAGTTATGAGGTCAATTGTGGAAACGCTATTCACATTCCACACGAGCTCTAGTTTCAAACCATCCTATTCCTCATGTGTGTCTCTTAATATAAACACATATGCACATGCTTGCTTTCTTGTAAGAAAAATCATTTCGTATTATTTTTAAATTTAGGGACCGTTTACCAAAACCTTACCCGGGTAAGTACTTATCAAATAATATTACCTCACTTGATGAATATAGTAAGGGCCAAGAATCTTATCCGGTAAGAGCGAGATAAGGACCAAAAGTCTTACCCGGTAAGTGAAGGCGACAACTCTTACCACGGTAAGCCCTTATCGAGTAAATCGTTGCATACGATGTCGTTTTGGTGGAATAAAATTTTACCCGGTAAATAAATAATAGTGTTAAATTTTACTGTAGGCACTTACTGGGTAAGTGTTCGGTAAACGGTGACTTATCTGAATTTAAAACAGTTAAAAATGAGATGAATATAAAAATACAGCATTGTACCACAATTAAGGTATTAATTTTAAGTGATGATCATCATACGTAAAATAGATATAAGATATTATATTTTAAAGACAATGTGTTAAATTGTAATAGAATTTGTATTAGTTTTTATTACATATTGATAAGACTTCGGTGACTTGAGGGGGAGGGAGGTTTAGGGGTTGTTTATCAAATTTTTTATTATGTTATGTATGAATAAATTTGTCTGTCTAGATAAATGGGTGGTGTTGTTTATTTTTTTTATCTGAATCAACAATCTGAATAACATAAAAGACCGATTTACCCCTCAATGTTAATTATTTGAACACTAAAACCAAAAAAAACATAAAGAGGGCGACAATGGGGTGTCTCATATGGGAAGGAGGTTGTGCTTTAAATAAGGGGTAGATGTGTAAATTTTGTGTCTGAATAGGAACAACACACCATTTCTATCTGTAAGATTAAGCCATGTTCTATGCAAATAAGCCATAAGTAAACAACCTAAATGAGCTGTGCAAATAAGCCAGATAGACCAATAAACCTAGTTAAGCTGCAAGTAAACAACCCTAGGGGTATAAAAAGTACGAAACTGAATAATTCGATAGAAGCAATACAGTTTCAGGTTATTCGGTTTGTGGGTTCAACGATAGGATTAATCGAATAAGGTAAGTTTTAATTTTAGTTACTTTTTCTTACCATATTGGTTTAGTCGAGTAACAAATTATAATATTATTTAATTTATATAAGTTACTTTTAAATTAATTGGTTTGAACATATAAAATTAACATCATGTTTCTGGTTTACTTTTAAACTAAAACAACAAGAAATAAAGATATATCTAACAAAACCATTAGCCAATATTATCATCATAATGTGATTTGTAGTGGTAACAAAACAATCAATATCTGAGGAAACGATTGTCAAGCTAGGAAGTGAGGGATTTCGTTTCATAAGTATAATTGATTAAAGCTTCATGTTTGAATTCATGTAAGCAACTACAGATAAACATAATAAAATAAATGATAAACATTTTATTTTAAATATAAAAATATAATTAGGATAATCATTTTAAATATAAAGAATATAAAGGATAATTATTTAGTTTTAAAAAAATATTTAATCATTAACTTTATAAAAAAAATTATATTAAAATTTTTATGATATCCTTATATTTTGTTAGTTTGATATTAATATCAATATATATTTTTCAAAATTTTATGATATCTTCATATTTATATTTTATTCAAAAATAAAAAAGTTATCGTTTTCTCAAAACCATATAAAATTGTATTATAACATAAAATGAGATAAAAAAAAATTAAAATCGAAATATATTTCGTTGCATTGTGCGAATACCCTTCTAGTCTTTTCGAAATAAATACATAATAATATTTTATTAAATATTTTAATAATTATTATTAAATAATAAATCTTTAATTAGGAGAGAGGGAGAGAGTACAAGTATGTTGCTTTGCTTACCAATTTGTGTGTAGAATGTTTCCCCATAAATATATATCAGTGGGAAGGAAGCTAACTGACTTTACCCGCCACCATTCTCTTTCTCCCACTCTCCTGCCCCCCTTCATGGCTGCCGATTCGAGAAAGAGCGTCTCCGAGATGTTGATCTCCAAAAGGCCCAGGAAGAATCGAAATCATCTTAATGGAAATGGAAATGGAAGTACGGATCTGATCGTCGGTAATGTTTCTGATACAAGTCCGATCTTCATTAAACCTAAAACAGAGCCAGCAACTGTGCAGGTAATGGAAGCCAGAAAAGTTCCGGTTCTGTATTACCTCACACGGAATGGTCACCTTGAACATCCTCATCTCATCGATGTTTCTCTCTCTTCTCCTCATGGTCTCTATCTCAGAGGTAATCACATTTTGTTTGATCGTTTAGCTTGATATGATTTGATTTAGTTTTTACTAATTTTGTTTGCAGATGTTTTGAATACCTTGAATTATCACAGAGGAAAAGGAATGGCGAACATGTACTCCTGGTCTTTCAAACGGTATGGAAGATCAACCTACAAAATTAAAACAAAATTTCAGTTTTTCTGTTGATTATGTTCTCTTTAATTCGCGATTTCCTTTGAAATTTCCTGAATCAAAATTAGGAGCTACAAGAGCGGATATGTATGGTACGATCTATCGGAAGACGATTTGGTTGAAGCGACAAATGGTCATGATTACGTTCTTAAAGGATCAGAGCTTCTCGAAACACACGAGTCTCTAATTCCGACGGAGGCGAACCATAATTGTAGCTCTACAATAACTCCGGCGGCCGCCATGATCAGACAACGGAATCAATCATGGAGTTCGTTCGACAATCCGCAAGAATACATGGTTGTGAAATGCGAATCCAGCAGAGAACTTGCGGCAAGGTTCGCGGCGGATGCAGCGACACAGACAGAAGAGCAAAGGAGACGACGTAGTTTCGAAGGAGAAAGGAAGGAGCAGGTGAGTAGAGAAGAGATACCGTCTCCACCGCCTTCAAATTCGAGCTCGGAGGTGTCGGAGGGAGCGAAATACGTGGATCAGACGGTGAACGTGAGAGATGAAGATCCAACGGCTGAAGGTAGTGGAAGGATGAAAGCTTCTCAGATTGTGATGCAGCTGATCTCATGTGGGGCCACTTCTCGGTTAAAGGGTGAGAAGCAACAGCAAGCACCATAGCACCGAATCAATAAATGTCAAGTACTAGCATGTCGCCATGTAGTGTTTATATGATGAAAATTGCTATTTTGTCGCCATCTACTGTTTATATGATGGAAAATTACTATTTTGTCACATGTGGTTTTAATTTTGGGTTAAATTATTTTTTTAAATGAAAATTATTAAACTTTTTTTTGTCATTTTGAATGATTAAGGAGTCGTTTACTAAACGTTTATATGAGTAAGTGTTTATCAAGTAACATTACCTTACCGGATAAATATGGTAAGTACCAAGAATCTTACCTGGTAAGAGCAAAGACAAGTACCAAGAGTCTTACCTGGTGAGTGAGAGCCATAACTTTTACCATGGTTAACGCTTACCAGATAAATTATTGCATTTGATACCATTTTGGTGGATTGAAATCTTACCTAGTAACAAGGACGGACCCATATATTTTTTTTTCCAAACAGTAACACTATTTGACTATAAAAAAAATAGGGAATTTTTTTCAAACTGTGGTATCGTTTGATTATAAGAAACAAATATACGAATTTTTTTTTTTCAAACGGTTGTATCATTTTACTAAGAAAATGTGTAATATTCGGGTTACGAGTTTTAATTTAAGATTTTTGAACATATATATATATATATATATATGTATGTGTGTGTGTGTGAAGTGTGTGAAGGTGTTGAGGTGTGTATATATGGGGAACAATTTTAAAAGGAGGGGGAGTCGGCCGGAGACACCGCCCACCTTATTCCCTTATTACTATATATAGAAATTTTTGGTCTAGATGAAAAAGTTTACACTCTTGCTATAATAGGAAATTCCCCTTTTGAATCATACGGATTGGCAGAAAAGAAGAAGAGAATTCAGAATTAGGATTCTTGTCTAAGGTGAGTGTATTCTGTTTTGAGTATAAATTGTTGGTATTCAATTCATTGCTATTAGAGCTGCCTTATTTTGGATCATATTAAATGTTGTACGGATTACTCCTAAACCGGACAAGAGGTGCCCGGGTTCTACCTAAACCGGACAAGGGTTGACCAGATTTGCCTTAAATCGCTCAAGAGGCAACCGTATATCTCATTTAAATCGCTCAAGTATCAACCGGGTTCATTTAAACCGCTTAGTTGTTGAACTAACCTGTTTTGCAGGTCATCATACCTTGCAGGACAAAGACAAGGGGAAAATTTAGAATTGAAGAAATTAGTTGCTTATAAATGTATTGAAGAAAGTTTTTTTTAGTCTGTATTTCGTAAACGATATTACATTCTGGGATATGAATAATATCATGCGGATTATCTGTATGTGGAAATTGTGGGTTGTTACAGTTGGTATCAGAGCCTTGGTTTAAGGGATCTGGGTATTTGCGAAATACTTAGACTTAAACTAGAGGTGCGGAAGTTATGATAATAGGTTTCACTGGGACTATGAACATGGGGAATATGTTATAGCTGAACCTATTATGAGAAAGATATATTATATATGACTGATATAATCTGAGTTATGGATAGATTTGAGAATAAACGTGTTATTATGTTTTGATTATGTGAATAATCATATGTGTTTAAATGTACAGAAAGAGTTATACACTGAGAAATAGCAGATAATCCCAATCAATATGAAAGGACCTCTACTGGTTATGGAAGAGGTCGGGGAAGAAGAAATGTGACTCAAGGGGAAGACCCGGAAAATGTGATGACAATAGAAACGCGAAGTCGCAGCAGGGGTCGAGGAAGAGGAAGATGTACTAGACAAGAACATGAATTGTCGGCCCAAGAAAGTTCAATGTTCGGCCGTGGTAGAGGAAGAGCAAGGGGTGGACATAATGTTTCTGACCCCGGATTTATTACTCAGGAGATGCTGGCAGCTTAGAAAATTTTCAAGAGAGCTTGGTAAATTTGTTGGGACGTTCGGTTCCAAATCATCCAGAATTTTTAAGGGACCCTGAACAGCAGGAAGAAGTCGGAGCTAGTACACCGGTACCTGGTACATCTGTACATCTTACTTCGTCCTCAGTACATAAAGAAGGAGATATCAAGATGTTTCTTGCCTGTAAACCTCCCAAGTTTTCTGGTGAGCGTGATCCTGTTAAAGCCATGTGTTGGCTTAAAGAGATAGAGCTGATTCTGCAAATCAGTAAAAGTGCAGAAGAGGACAAAGTCATGTTTGCTGTATCTCGTCTGAGATCAAGTGCTTTGTATTGGTGGGAAGTTCTATCAAATTCAGATCCAAACATTTTGAAGACTATGTTGTGGGAAGAATTTGTGGTTAAGTTTAAAATGCAGTACCCGATGTCATAAAATACATCAGGGAAATTGCAATACAAAATCTCGAGTATGTTTTAAATGTCAAGAACCAGGACATATAGCTCGAGACTATCGGATGACGCAAAGATGTTTTACTTGTAATTCAGCTCAACATGTAAACGCTGATTGTCCGCAAGCAAAAGGTCGAGGGTCTGGCTTTGTTGTAGGTCGGGGATCTGGATATTCTGGGGTCGAAGATCTGGGTATGTGCCAACAGGTCGTGGGAAAATGGATAATCATGTTAATCCAAGTGGACGGGGAGGGATAAGACAGACATAGTTTAATATAAAAGGGAGAGCCTTTCAGATGACGAGAGGCGAGGCGGAAGAGCATCCTGAAGTAGTGACAGGTACATTCCTTGTTAATTCAGTATGTGCCAAAGTTTTATTTGACTCAGGTGCAAATCGTTCTTTTGTATCACCATCATTTGTTAATTGCGCACATCTAGAATCTAAAGCATTGAGTGAGGATCTAATTGTGGAAACAACAAATGATAGTGAAGTTTTGGTTAAGGAAAGAATTGATGAATCCTTTATAAATGTAGAAGGATGTGAGGTGCCTATACTATTATTTCCTATGCCTTTAAGGGAATTTGATATAATTATAGGCATGGATTGGTTAGCTAAAAACCAAGCTAACATAGTTTGTAATGAGAAGATGATCCATGTAGACTTACCAGAAAAAGGAAAGGTTGTGATTTGTGGGGATCGACGGGATCACTACTTGATACGTATTAAGTTTTTAGTATGTAAAGTACCTTTTTATTCTCTTTTAGATAGGTTATTTTCCATTTATATCCCAACTTTGAGTCATTTTATCTATTTTCTCTGTTTTTATGCTAAGAAGAATGAGGAACTTGTTTTTAGTGGATTTTGGTCTAAATTAAGCTCATTTTGGACAGATTGGAGCAGGTCGATGCTGTGAAAATATGGTAGCATGACCTGAAGGCAGATGAAGAGAAAGATAAGACTTGGAGTTGACTGACATGACATTATGAAGACATTTGAGAGCCTTCTATAGTTGAACCAGCTGTAGTTTAATCAGATTAGCTGGAGTTTACAAGACTAATTTTAGTTGTTTTCTAAATATTAGTTTGCTTTTATGTACTATTTAGTTTATTTTGAACTAGATGGGTGTGAAATTACATTTTTGCCCTCACTCCATCCCTAGTATAAAAAGGGATGTTGGGAGGAGTATTGGGGACACCTCATTACCACACTTTGCTACTTGCTCTCTAGTATCTTTTGTTCTCTCTTCAAATAGTTTGCATACTACTTGAAGAACAAGTTCTTAATATTATAAATCTTTTGGTTACATTTCAAGTTCTTTTATCGCTTTATTTATATTATCGCATTTTATATTCCATCATTTATTTATTTACGCTTACTTACATTTTATTTCCGTCATTTATTTATTACGCTTTCCGCATCTTTCTATTATTCCGTTATTTATATTCCGTATTTACTTTCCGCATTTATTTTATTTCTTTACTTATCGCAATTTATATTCCTTGTCATTTATTTTTCGTCATGAGTAGCTAGTTTTATTAGCTCAGGTGTATGACGAAAACGGTGAGTTTTTAAACCAAAATATAGTCGACCCTTTCATGTAACAACGATGTTTTACTTTTTCATTTCAAGTTTTATAAAACCAATGACACTTCTTGACGAGTTGATCACTTTGAAAGTGTTAAAGTG